ACGAAGCCCAGGAGGGGCGCGACGAGGCCCAGGAGGGGCGCTATGGGGCCCAGGAGGGGCGCGACGGGGCGCTACGGGGCCTGGGAGGAGCGCGACGGGGCCCAGGAGGGGCGCTAGAGGGCCTGGGAGGGGCGCGACGGGGCCTTGGAGGGGCGCGACGGGGCCTGGGAGGGCGGTACAGGGCCCAGGAGGGGCGCTACGAAGCCCAGGAGGGGCGCGACGAGGCCCAGGAGGGGCGCTACGGGGCCCAGGAGGGGCGCGACGGGGCGCTACGGGGCCTGGGAGGAGCGCGACGGGGCCCAGGAGGGGCGCTAGGGGGCATGGGAGGAGCGCGACGGGGCCGGGGAGGAGCGCGACGGGGCCTAGGAGGGGCGCTAGAGGGCCTGGGAGGGATGAGCGGAAGCGGTAGGTGGGGGGGGGGGGGGGATCCTACAGTGGCGGATTAAATTGTCCACATGTTTTGCCTTTTTTGGCATTTTTATGAGTGCAGAGGCGTATACATTAAGCCTTAATGTAAGGTGTGCATTAACGCTGAGAAGTTCAGTTAGAGCAGTCACTCCAGTGTTCAAACACCAAAGTAGTACCACACATGGTCCTTAAACTCCTAAGCATAGCATGGGAGAACATGTGGACAATTTGTACCGGAAAATGGTATCACACTAGATTCTAGGAAAACTAGTACCTAGTCCAGCGTCCCTTTGCCCGAATCACTGCCTTGATCCTCCTCGGCAGGCTGTCGATCAGGTTTGCACACACCTCCGGCGGTATCTTGTCCCATTCCTCCTGCACCCTCTCCCACAGCTCCAGCATTCCCCTTGGCGGCTTTTCGTACTTCCCCAGCTGCCTTTTCAAGTATGCCCACAGGTGCTCAATTGGGTTAAGGTCCGGGGAGCACGACGGCCATTCCAGCACCGCGTACTCCTGCTCCCCAAGCCAGTCTTGGACCAGACGACACCTGTGCTTGGGATCATTGTCGTGCTGGAAAATGACCTCTGAGGGGGAAAGCTTGAAAAAATCGATGGTCTGTTTGAGCTCATCTTGCAAGATGCTGCGATACAGCGGCCCATCCATCCTGCCATCTATCTTGCACATGAACCCCGCCCCCTCATACGTCATGCAACCCCACACCATCACAGAACCGCCCCCATGCTTAACTGTCTGTTGGACTTGGTGGCTCCGAAGGCTGGTGCCCTCGCGAATCCAGGCGTACGCACGTCCGTCGGAGCAGTAGCGGTTAATCTTCGTCTCGTCAGACCAAATCACCCGCTTCCAGTCCTCCAGCGTCCAGTCGGCATGCGCCCGCGCGAAGTCGAGACGATCGCGGATGTTTTTCGGTGAGAGCCTGGGTTTCTTGGGCTGATGCACGGCGATCAGCCCCGCGGATCGTAAAGAGTTGCGGACCGTCTTCGAGTCTACGGCGAGATCGTGCTTCTCCAACAACATCTTGGCCGCGTCTGAAGAGCTTTTCGCCTCGCCGCTAGTAATCGCACGTATAACTCCGCGCTGGAGACGGGTTGTGATTAAGCGGGGGCGGCCGGCCGAAGGCATCGTAGGTCGCACCTCCTCGCGACTAGTCTCCTCAGCGAGTTTCATACCGTAATCGTGCACGGTGCTCTTGCCTATGCCAAGAAGTTTCCCTATTTTCCTAGTCGAATGCCCCGCACGCAACATGCTTCTGATCCTCGCGCGCTTCTTCTCATTTAACGGCTTCATAGCGATGCGGTCGTAGGCTCGCTTCCGGACTAACAACTAAGCTAGGAACTGGTGCGCGTGACGATGTACACACTGAGCGACGGGGGAAAATAGATCTACTCTTCCGCTCGGTAGGAAATGTCCACATCGACAGTCGAGTAGTAAATTTCAACCCCACTTTCCGTTAGTGTCACAATCGCGCCAAGCAAGAAACGGATGAAGCAGAACTCAAAAACCGAGTAACAGAATGGAAAAAAACGGGTGTTACTATTTTCGAAACATGTGTTGCATAACGATACGTTTCAAAGTGTTAAACATCCGGGCAATTTAATCCGCCACTGTACCTACGCGTGATACCATATCAGAAATTAGAATTGAATAATCGTAATGTGAGAGTACACACAAATATATCTAAGTTTTGTATCCTCTAAGAGGTGACTCTATACAGTCTATACAAACATGACAAATACACATGTTTGACACATCTGTACACACGGGGCAAGATCGGGAGATGGGGGGGAAACGAAGGGGAAGGATTGAGAGATTGGAGGGGCGTTGGAAACCGAGATTGCAGGGGCGGAGTTGGCAAGGGAGGTCGACACAGCAAGGGCGGGGAAGGTGAATCTTGCACTCCCCTCCCCCTGCGAGCACACGTTGGCCCTAAATCTGGTGAAGGGCCCAAGACGCCCTCACACAGCCAAAAACGCATCTCGCTCGAGCCCAAGATTTGGTGAAGGGCCACTCAACGCCCTCACAAGCCTTCGAGCACAAATGGAGCGGTGATTTTGGTGAAGTGACAATTAGCCCCCTCATACAGCCTCGAGCACAGGCCAGGCGATGATTTCGCTGGTGCGCGTGACGTGACCTGTTCTGCGGGACACGGGGGCATGGCTAGGTACAGGGGGCGGGGACAATTTCACAGGTACCGTATTCCCCCGTATAAAGCACCCTAGGGTGGTAACCAAAATGCCTCTAAATTTTGAGGGGGGTGTAATTAGTGGCTTATTTTGTATAACGCTTGGGTGTTGTGGAACATGCGTATTTGATATTGTTTTTCCTAAACAAAGTGCACTGTCGTTTTCTGCTGTATTTTGTTTTTCCCCTCGACATCGCGTACGGAAGTGGTGAAACACCAAACAGCCAATCCGTAGGAGGCATGGCACGATTTTCTTGGCGGGAAGGCGAGTGCGACCCGAAAGTCAAGTAGCGAACATTGAGTTACGAGGATTCAAGGGACCCACTTGTTTGGGCAGTCAAAATGGGTCTCGAATTTTTCTGTGTCACACCTCTTGAACCGCGCTGTATACGGTAGGTTCCTCGATAAGTTTCCCACTAGCTCTCACGCTCAGGTGATGGCACAGCAGGAGTGGTCGAAAAAGAGGGTATCGCTCATCTATGCTACTCGAACTCAAAAGTGATGTTGAAAGTTTCGGGGGGGTGTTCAAATATTTGCAGGCAAAAAAGACGAGTGCTATGTATATCCACTTTAATTAAGCACCCATGTCCGCTCAAGCCACACATGGGCGTTCAATTTTGCGGGGTGCTGTATACGGGGGAATACGGTATCCCCCCTATACACTGACCATCACAGTGGTTTCAGAAGAACTTAGGACACTAGCTACTTAAGATAGGAAACTAGGAGGCTAGGAAAGCCGCCATGGAATGGCGGGAGGAAAGTAGATCTAGGAGCTAGGCAAGGAATGTTGAGAAAGAAGAGGTGTTGAACTAGAAGGGAATGAGGTACAAGAAGGGGATTTATCCCCTCTACTGTAGGATGCAGTAGCACAACTATCAAGCATATCAATTATATATAACTTATATAATCTTGACAAGTGGTACCGTATGAAGGTTTTGTCAAACATGTGTATTTGTCATGTTTGTATAGACTGTATAGGGTCGCCTCTTAGAGAGTACAACACTTAGGTATATCTTTGTGTACTCTCACTCTATCCAACTATTCAATTTTCAATTTTGATATGGTATCACAGGCGGACACCGACCGCAGCACTGGTCTGCTGCTAAGAGGGTTTTGCGTTATCTTGCTAGTACATCGGGCATGGGGTTAGTGCTAGGAGGACGCAGGCCAGTGGTCCTTACTGGACACACAGACGCTTCGTGGGCAGACGACGCTGAGACACTCAGGTCTACCCAGGGCTACTGCTTCAGCCTTGGCTCAGGTGCCGTCTCGTGGAGAGCTACCCGCTCCTCGTCTGTTGCGCAGTCCAGCTGTGAGGCCGAGATCTACGCTGGTGCCATGGCGGCACAGGAGCTCCGCTGGCTGACCTTCTTGCTCACTGACTTAGGTGAGCGGCCTAGCTCTGCCCCGGTCCTGTTCGCTGACAACAGGGCCATGATCCTCCTGTGTCAGGAGCCTCGACTCGAGGGCAGAGCGAAGCACATTCAGCTGCGGTACTTCCTCCTGCGTGAGCTGCAGCAGCGACGTCAGGCTCGCGTAGTACACTTGGCCTCAGGTACCAACACGGCTGATATCTTTACGAAGGCGCTTGCGCCTTAAGATCATCAGCATCACTGTGTACAGCTTGGTCTAGTTCCTGTAGCCTCTCACTTGCTAGGACCTTGACTTTGTACTGTCCTTTATACGTATACTCAGACTGGACTTGTGTCCTCTCGCAGTGGCTGGACTAGTAGTGCCGCCCTGCCTTTGTTCTTGCCTTGTTTGTACTCCTTCTGACTGGTCTCTTAGACCCTTGTCTCAGAGGTTGGACTAGTAGTGCCGCCCTGAGCTGTTTGTTTAGGGCATTCCCCTATGCAGTCTAGGGGGTGTGTCAAACATGTGTATTTGTCATGTTTGTATAGACTGTATAGGGTCGCCTGTTAGAGAGTACAACACTTCGGTATATCTTTGTGTACTCTCACTCTATCCAACTATTCAATTTTCAATTTTGATAGGTTTATTCGGATAAAATCAGAGTAAAGAGTAAATTCTTTTTTTTTACTCAGCCCCTAGATTAGTTTTCAAAAACGACTCTGATTTTCAGAGAAACAGAGTAAATTACTCGGATAAAATAGGCCTTGGTTGCCTCTCTTTATTGCGACAGAAAGAGCGCCCATTAGTACTTGTGCCTTGCAATGGCAGGGATTGGTTTACCAGCAACCATGTGTTTGTGTGTACCGTAGGTAGTAGGTACTGTAGTTTGACACACGTGCACATCTTTACGAAAAAGAGGAGGGGGTGTATAACGAAAATTATTGGCTATGCATACCGTATCTTGCAGGTTATTTGCTTTTGTACATAGCCATACAGAAAAGAGCTAGAAATACTTGGTAGTGTAACACAATCTTGAAATACAATATAACAAGTTTTATTGATAGTAGCTTCTGCGAGAAACAGAAACGAGGATGTACAGAAAGAAACATAGGTACACGTGTCGCTAAACCGCTAGCCGCTAGATGGATAACTCACATCGCATCCTAGCTGGCCCTAACGTTCAAAGCCGTCTCCGCCGACAGATTATTATTCAAGCGAACGGTTTGGCACATAAAAGAAGGGATTGGACCGGTCTTTATGGCGTTCTTAGGAGGCGTCCCGGATGCGCGAATTGGAACAGGGATTGCTCTGCTGACGTGGCGAGTCTTGATTGGAGAACAGGGAACACTTGCACTTCATGCCCAATGGGGCGAGACCATGACATGCGCACTGTACTGTCCGCCATTTGCGCGGCAACTGCACCGTATGTCCTCGCACGTATCCATCCACCATGATGACGCTTCCCTTCGCGTTCACGGCGAGTCTCATTATTAACACCTCCGCTACTGCTCCGTGAAACGCCCTGCTCCACCGTAGGCGCAGCCGCGCAATTCCACCGTTGCTCGCTCCTTGCACCGTTTTATGTACAAAATCCAGGCCGAAACTGAAGCCGTATGGCGAATTGCGTAGTCCAATCTCGCACGAACATAATACACCCCTCGCGGGCACTTGTACAGAGTCGTCGTCGAGCAGAAGCTGCTGCTGGTACTGCCGCTGCTGCTGCGACTGATGATGACGACGATGATGCTGCTGCTGCTGTCGGTGCAGCATTTCCGGGGGTCGGTGATGGGTCCACGTCATCGCCGCTACGAAAGGCGCGATAATCTCCGAGCGGCTTGAAGCCCGGCAAGCCGAGGGGCGCTGTACAGATTCCGCTCGCACTGGCGGCTGGCTGGGCTTTAAACGTGGCCCGAGGGAGGAAACGGGAGGAGGAACGCCGGGCAGAGAGGAAAGAAGGAAAGGAGGGAGGACAGGACGAGGAGGATCCACTGCTTCGAGGGAGACGCGAGCTCCGAGCGAAAGGCCGCGGCGGGGACGACATGGCGGGAGATGGGGAGGCTACCCGTCGATGGTGAGAGGAGAGGCGGAGAAGCCCAATCCGGAAATCGAAGATGGAAACGGAAACATAACCGAAGCTGGAACCCAGTAGTAGTACTAGGAGCATGAGTAGAAGCGCCGAATACCGAGAAGTAGAAGAACATGGCACTTTATTCACCGTCCGTCGCGTCGCGTCGTGTGGCTGCGCTGCGCACCCTTCTAAGCGAGCGGGTGGGCGAATGCTTCACCCGAGCCGCCCGCTATCACGTACGATTCGTGAGGCCGGCGCGAGCGTGGTGACTGCGCGAATTGAAATCTTGAAACTTTTTCGCCAAGCTGTCGCGACGCGACGGGCGGAATCCGTGGCTCACGGCGGGGCCGAGCGTGCGCGGGGAGAGCGCGGCGGGCGGGAAGCGCGGACTGCTGTCCTCGTGCGGGCTGGTGATGGCGCTCGTGAGCTCCAGCGCCGCTCCCCCGTATCCCGCCAGAGTGGGCGGCGGAAGCGGCGGGCGCGCGGCGGAGGGGAGGACGACGCGCGGAGGGCGCATGGAGCACTGCTTGAACGACCCCGCAAGGCTGGGGAGGGTCCGCGGCGATCCCGCGCCAGGGAGGAGCACAATTCCCGCGGTCGCGAGCACCGCGCGCCCGAGTTCCACCGCTGACGACGACGAGGCGCGCACGGGGAGCGGGGAGAATGTGAGCGGCGCGGGATCGAAGATGCTGTTGGGCGCCTCGGCCGCCGCGGGAGACGACGGCGGGGATTTCTTCTCGATAGTTGCCATCGCGGCGGCGTTCATTGCGGGCGCGGCGTATTTCTGGATCGCACAGAAGAGCGCCCAGGAGAGCTGCGCCGCGGGCGGCAGGCAGGCGCTGGCTGCGGCAGCGTTGGACGCCACGAGAGTGATGGCGGACGCCATTTCGTGTGCGAGAGAACGAGGGGGGAAGGGGAGAATGTCTCTAGATACGTAGAGTGGACGTTCTAGTGCAGTTCCCGATTCCGAAGCTCAAATCGGCAACGTTGGTGTCTAGATGCGGAGCGCACCTAAGGTTGAGCGGGATGGACTCTTTAAACGCGTAGTGGTGCCGGTATCAAGAGCGCGGCGGTGCGTGCACAAAGAGGTTTACTTGAGTGAGTCCAAATGCAGAAGATGCAGAACTAGGGCGCTTGCTGGAGAGCCTAAATACAACGCAGGAGGGCTGGAGCGCTGCTTGCGGCAAGGGGGAGTGTGATATTGTCTGTGTGCGTTGGCGCATGTATCAGCGGGCCAAGAGGGCTCTTTTTCCTCTGTTGTTTGATTGCCTTCGTCGGAGGGGACAATCGCCGCTTTGTAGGAAACAAAATGCGCCGCTCGCCCCCCGGCCCCACCCCGAGCCCCCACTGACTGAGTCTGCTGTCCTGCTGTCCTGTGCTGCTGCGACCTCCGCCGAAGTCCAAGCCTGCTTCCCCCGAACCGAGTCCCCTCCCCTCCGCCAGTCGACATCACGTCACATCCAAGATGTTTCGACGCGCGACAGCGCTGGGTTGGGGGAGGTGCATGCAAGGGCTGCTCGGGGAGCAGAGAGGCAACTTGGATTTGCTCCATGTTTGCGCGATGCGCCTAAAGCGTCGGGGGGAGCTTGCGGGGGAGGCCAGGGCGGAACTGTGCCTGTCCTGGTGAAGGTGTGCGGTTTGCTGGCGGCAGGAAGTGGCACATGCGGGCAACGTCGGCGGGCCCTGCGAGTGTGCGTGGCGGAGGCAGAGGCTCTGTCGGAGCTGACGAGGGAGGGGACCACCTGGGCATGCTGTCGACACTATCGAGGCGTCCATTCTGCTGTAAACTGTTGTGATAGCTTCGGACAGTCCAGCGCAGCTGCGGCGGGTTTCGGTTCGGAAGCCTCGACCAATGCGGTGGAATTCTGCGGTTAGGACTACCTCGTGCGGATTCGTCACCCTTGCGTGGCATGTCATGTGATTGGCGTGGCTATGACGGGGAGAACCAGTCTTTGGCCCGAAATCTTGTGGACCTCTGCCCCTTCTGCGTGGGACCCTCACTGACCTGGACAAGCTTATCCTCAGGAAGTGTATTTACTGTTTGTGCTGGACGGTGACTATTTAGGCGATAAATTCTGCCCGGAACGTATGCAGGATAATAGGAATATTGCCCCGAATCCTGGAAGTAAGTTTCTATCTCGGTTTGAAGCGCTTAATCGATAACGGAATCAACTGGCCTATTTATCAATGGGGAATCTCGTTGTGTTGGAATGTCTGAGACACCAGGGCGAAAGGAAACCGTCTTGATAGGTTTATCGATAACTGCATGAATGAGTTTTCTACCATAAACAGCTGTATTCGGAGATCGCCCCAAACGTTCTCACCCTCAGGAGCAAATACCCCATTCACAGTGACCCTTCCTTTGTCGATTGCGAAATCGGACCAACCAATCGACAGCCATTGTGTGACGTTCGCAAGCTCAACCTTGCATCAGCATTGCCTAGACCATTTGTCGTTTTTACAATGATGCTTGCACAGTTGTACACGGAAAGGCATTTCTCCTACGAATAGAAACAGAATCTCATCGTGCATCACGTGATGGTTTCGCAAACAATGTCACCACCCTGACCCTAGTTCAAGCGTGTGGGCACTGGCCCCCATGTACTCGGTTCACGGTGCTCCACGACCTGTGCATGGTTTTGAAACTTATCTGTCCTATGCATTTCACTTCCTATGCTCCACTTCCATACACGAACTATTCCATTGCCCTTAAAGCCTCACACATTCATCCTATACATTGGGGGGGCGACATTCGGCTCAATGTGACGCTCACTCGATCCGCGAGTTCAATGTGTGAAATTGATGGGACAAGCCGCCGGCTCGAGCCTGGGCCAGGGAAGTGTTATAGTGTGGTGGTGCGAGATTTGGGAATTCACGACCAATCAAACAGAACAATCGAAATGTGCACAGTTGCCCAAAGACAAAATGGGGGACCAAGAGTTCCCCGCTCTCACTGTCACAGTCCGTGCATTCGAAGACGCGCAATCGTCACCTCCTCCTGATGTCCCTCGCCAGCGCTATCAGCGCACTCGATGGCATCGCTCCTCCAGGGACATCTAGCACCAGCGGCTCGGCCACCCTTCAAGAGTCACCCTCAATAACTCGCTCAGGGCCAACGTCTTCGCCTATGATGCTCTCATAGACTCTGATGGACATGAACTTCAAGTCAGCCAAGCCTCTTGCTCCTGCACAGTCTGCCCCAAAGTTGCCCTCTCACACAACTTATTCCCAGACCTTCCACGCTGCCTAACTTGATATGTACAGCTGAACAATGTGTACAGCATCTACCTAGTCTCCACACAAGTAGGACTCCATGGGGAGCAGTACACTCTAACATTCATCGACGCTGCCATCCGCTATGTCTGGGGAGTCAACGTCCAGAATAGAGGGGGTCAACATCTTCCAACCCTGGCTCGCTCTCGTTGAGCGCCACTCTGGAAAGAAACTAAAATACTAGCAGACGAATGGAGCTCGGGATTTCCGGAGTAAGAATCTACAGACCCATCTCCAAGAACTCGGGATCGAGCACATGCTCTCCCTTCCTTATGCTCACCCACAGCAAGGTGTCGCTGAACGGACCAACCGCACCGTGCAGACCAAAGTGAGGGCGATGATGCTCGTGTACGGACTGCCCACAGACTACTGGCCCTGTGCAATGCACCACGCAATACGTCTGCACAACCTACTGTCCACCAGTACCAACAACGGAAATCAGTCTCCCTTCCTGGACTGGACAAGAAAGCCAGGTAACACCACTATGCTGCAAGTCTGGGGCTGCATCATCCAGTATCGACCTCATCACGCTACCACCGAAAAGTTCAAAAGGTGAGCCCGCTGGGGTATGTACCTCGGCATCTCTCACGAATACAAAGCATGGACGGTTCTGGACCTGGAAAATGCCAACGTCGTACCTTCCAGAGACATCCTTTTCTACGAAGGACTCACTCTGAAGCATTTCCAGGATGATGAATTTGTTAATCGAGAAGCAGCCTACGCACGTGGAGAACGCAGCTTCGCCTCTCAAGAAGACGAAGCCGCCGCTGCTCACCTGGACCTGGACCCACATGACAAACACCCAGGGGAGAATCCTCACTTCAACGATGATGCCGACGCAGCCGACGCCCCTCTTAACCCCTCTCGCGATACTCCCGCAATGGAACTATAGGGATCCTTGCGGACTCACAACTCGCCACCGCCTCGGACGACGACGTGCAAGAGGTCACTGACGATGGGCATTTCAGCCTCAGGTTCTTCGGTCTTCACATCCTTGGCCTTCATGCAGCAGTCCACAAGAGCCCCTGTGTGATCGAGCTAAAAACACCCCGACAGGCTCTCACTGAGGTTACAGGTCCAGGATTTAGCGGAAGCTTGAATGATACTAATCAAGAATTGAATGACCGAATACAAGCAAAGAGGCAATGCTATTAATACCTACGAGAACTCTCGGGAAGGGTATCTAGGACCTTCTAAGAGAGTTCTAGAACTGAGTGGAACCGTCTGTAGGAACACCATCTAGAAGCACGGTAGGGATTCTAGAGACACGGTGACGGTGACGGAACACTCTACGCAGTAGAAAACGTGTCACGCAAGGAAAGTCCGAACACTCCGTAATACATAGATATATATATGAAATATAGCAATGTGTATGGAAGAGTGTATGCATTTTTAGGAAAGGAAAAACACATAAAATAACACACAATAAATAGCAAATATGCAAAAAGATGTGCTCAAGGATTCGTCAAGCCTTATCCTTTCACAACCAGACTCCATCGTGCCGAATGGCGCAAGGCCATGGATCCGGAACTTGCCGCACTACGCTCCCGAGACACATGGGTCCAGGTAAACTGCGCAGCAGTAAAGGGAAGGAAGATCCTTTCAGATAAATGGGTCTACTGCGTCAAGACGGGCAAGGCTCAAGGCTCGATGGGTCGTACGAGGATACGACCAATGCCACGACGTCGATTTCGACCTCACATTCGCGCCCGTTTGTCGCTACACCTCCGTGCGCATTCTACTTGCCATCGCTGCATGCCAGTACACCGACCTCCGACAGATCGACGTCAAGAATGCGTTCCTATACGCAAAAGTTGACGCCCTGATCTTTGTCAAGCAGCCCCACACCTACGGCGACGGGGACCCACAAGTCTGCCAACTTCAAAAGTCCATGTACGTGATCTAGCAGGCCCCACGTCTCTGGCAGCAGTACCTCCATGCGATTCTGCTGGAGATCGGCTTGCTCCAGCTCCCTCACGACCCCAGAATGTACCGTCTCCACTTCTGCGGGGACTACATCCTCCTCACGGTCTACGTCGATAACCTACTCTATTCTGCACCAACCCCAACCTACTCGACAAATTAGAGCAAAGCCTAGGAGAGTGCGTCGATATCACTGGCTCCAAGACCGTGACCCAATTTCTCGGTCTCAACATCTCCGTAAGGCCAGAAACCATCCACCCCTCCGCATCAAAATATGCCGAGACTCCCACCAAGAAATTTAACCTAATGCCAACACCGCTCTCCACACCCTATCGCATAACCGCCATCGGCTATAAGGCCGACATCAAGACACTCGCCCCTGTCGCACATCAACTCTACCAATAGCAGCTCGGCTGTTTGCTGTTCGCTGTCGTCATGTGCCGGCCTGACATTATCCTACATCGCCAGCCAGCTCGCCCAATATACTAGACCCACAGCAAGCTTTCTTATACTTCATTTCGACTCCCCACATTGGTCTCATCTACTCCACCATCACCACACCCACATTCCAACTCACTGGCTACGTCGACACAGACCTCGCCGTAGGCCCCGCTAATCGCCGCTCTTGCACAGGGTTTCTCTTTTGATTGTAACCTACTGGACCTATCTCTTGGAACTCACAGAAACAGGAGCTGATTGCCCTCTCCTTAGCTAAAGCAGAGTACATCGCAGCAACCTCCGCTGTTCACGAAGGTCTCTACCTCCAATGACTGCTGCAAGGGGCGAAGTTCGACACTTCGCCAACATTCAAGTTACACTGCGACTACCACAGTGCAATCAGGATTGCCAACAAGCCCGGCTTCATCAACCGCACAAAGCACATCGCTCTGTGATACTTTTTTCGTCAAGGACGAAATCGACAAAGGGAAAGTGGACCTAACAAAATGTCCTACTTGTGACATGATAGCAGACTTCCTCACCAAGAAGCTGCCACGTCAACGGTACCTGTACTGCGCCGAGCTCTGTAGAATCTCCAAGCGTGCCAAGATCGAGTACC